TAAACTTTATTGGCATAATTTAAATTTTTATGGTAGCGAGGTCGTTGTTGCAAAGACAACTAAAAATATCGTTTAGATAGATGTAGAAACTGGATATGTGAATGGTATTATTCCTTTGAGAATATTTTTTTATTTTGTAATGACTTAAAATTCTTAATTGCTTCCTTTTAATTGATCGTGTAACAACCATTTTACGTAGTACATATCAAAAAAGAATTTTCTTATCTTCTTAGAATAAATTCAATATTTGTATTGCATGAAAATAGTTTTGTGTACGTAGCCCGTGTTTTTCTATTTCTATCGTTATCGGACAATGAACCATTTTGTTTATTTGTCAACATTACCTCACTAAAAATAAAATATCTTTAGTGCATGCATTTATGGAATGAGAATGAGGCTTAAGCATTTAGAAATTAGATAAGTGAGGCTTAAATTTCTTTAAAAGCGAAAATCTGTGATTTAAATATTACTAAATAAGTTTATTTCAACAGGTAACACAATAATTAGATCAGAAGCCACCGAAATGGCTTTTTAAAATTACTTTCAATTTTTATAATTTATCAAACGCGTTAATTCCAGAAATTTTCCTCTGCCATTGTTAGCCTCTTTATTTATTCTTGAATTGTCTGATTTCTACTAAAACAAAGCTATTAATATAAAATACTTATTTATTAAAAAACAAGAGACCACAATTCTTTAATGAATTATTAACCAAACTGATACGAAAAAAATATGAATAATCTACTTGTAATTTTTATAATAGTTTATACAATAACTATGATCGCTTTGATAAGGAGTGCTTTCGTAATTGCAGATTTTTATTCTAAAAGTGATTTCATCAACGAGGTAAATTATGAAGAATGCAAAAATATTAAACGCCACGACTACATTACATCTATTTTTTTATTTAATTTGTAGAATTACAACAGTAACGATTCTCAATCATTTATTGGTGGTAAACAATAAGGCTTTAAATATTATTAGATATTCAAATATGTGCAAAGAAAATATTTTATCCATTCAATGTCTAATTAGTTATTTTATTTACAGGTTTATCATGAAGTTATTATAATATGAAACTTATTCGAAAAAATAAATTATCTAATTTTATTTATTTTCGCTACATAATCAAATTTCTTATTAGTAAAGCCTGTTCGGTTTGAGATTTTTTCGTTTTTAAATATTGATTATTACCAATAATATAAATGCTACATTATCTTTTTTTGCATTTTTTTTTTAAACAAAAAATTAAATATAAAATAAGTGGCTCATCAATTTATAAAAATAAAACATTCTAATGTAAATAAATAATGTTATAAATTTCATTATAAATTGACAAATACACTTTGATAACATGTTAG